GACATCGTTAACGAAGACATTAGAGCCAAAAATGATGGCTTTCGTCTTCGCCACATTCAGCTTCGGCCGATTTGCATTAGCCCAGTCTGTCACACGGTTAGCAGCGTTGCTCATACGGCGAATGGCATCCTCTAACCCCTCACGTGGAAAGGTCAGGTAAATCTGGAGATCATCAGCATATATCAGATGCCGAACTCCAGGCCCTAAGTTTACACCAGCATCATTAATGAACAGGAGGAATAGCAGAGGACCTAGAACAGATCCCTGCGGAACTCCCCTGTTCAGATGACAGAAGGATGAACAGCCACTCGCCCCGCCTAGTGTAGCCTGCGAACGACCACCCAGATATGATGCAAGCCACTTCACTGAAGAAGCTGAGAAGCCATAGCCTAACAGCTTCCGCAGCAGCAACACGTGACAAACGCAATCGAACGCCTTGCTGAAATCGCATAACAGCAGCATCGTCAGCTGCCGTCTGTCAATACCCGTCCTAATGTCGTCTGTCAGTTTCAATAGTACCATCTGCGTCCCATTGACTGGACGAAAACAGGGTCTGCAGGGAGTCCAAAATGAAGCGCTCAGCAAGGAAGCCGGAGATTTGCTGGGAAGCAAGTTTCTCCAGCACCTTGGAGAGGAAACAGAGCAAGGCAATCGGCCTGAAGTCATTAGGTGACACAGGGTTTTTCACCTTGCCAAGCGCAACAATAAAGGACCTCCTCCATTCAGAGGGAAAGCAGGACCGAGCGGAAGCGATGTTAAAGAGCATCACTAGATAAGGTGTTAGAATCGGCAGGGCAGCCACAACCACCAACCTGGGAATCCCATCAGTCCCTTTAGCTTCGGTAGAGAAGTGCCGAACAGCCGTCTGTACCTCATCAGCAGTGACTGGCCTGAAGAAGAAACCCACGGCAGGAGGGATGGCCCCTAGCTCAGCCGACTCCAAGAACCCATCCAGCGAAGGCTCCGTCTCGTCAAAGGACACTCCAGCAAAGCAACGATTCAAGACGTCAGGATCGAAATCGGGTGTTGAGTCATTCCCAGTCACCACACCAAGCCTTCTGAGCTCCTTCCAGATAAGCGAAGGGTCAGAGAGAGGCTCCAGCCTTCGCTGGAAGAAAAGTTGACGTGCCGCCTCAACCTCACGATGAGCACGATCACGAGCCGTGCGATAGGTTAAGAGTGCCTGATACGAGAGTAAGTACGTTTGTACACACGGTACAGGCGATCTCTCTTCGCTACAAGAGCAACGATCCCATCAGTAAATCACGGTTTGCGCTTCGAGGACTTCCTTACCGTCTTGAGCGGGATAGTAGCATCCATGGCGACTCCAAGATTACCGCCCAGACATGCAGTCATTTCGTCTGGAGACGACAGGCCATCGAACACCGACCAGTCACTCCCGTCAAGCTGCGACAATAGCACATCAAGATCCAGAGCGGCAAAATCCCCGTAAATGAAGTCCTTACTCACAGATGGGCGAGGCAGGACAGCCTGTATTGTTGCAGTGATAAGATCGTGACCATCCACAAAGGGGGCCTCTGTCTTCCAGTAGGATAGAAGCGTGTCATCATGATCAATCAGGCACAGATCAAGCCAGGAGTCTGAGTCATGAGTATGATGAGTGGCACCGTGCGGCACAAGGCTCAGAGAAAAAGCGGAGCAAAGCGAACGCACCGGAGCCGCATCAGGGTTGCTCATGGACAGCTGATCGGCATTGAAATGCCCAAGGATGACCTTGGAGCTATAATTCTGAAGAAACCCCTGCAGAGAGGGGATGAAGTCATTACCCTGGAAGAAAGGAGCATGTGGCGGCCTATATACTACTGCAACAAAGACTGGAAAGACACCGTGACAGGAGATTTCACAGAACAGATACTCAGGGAAGCTAGGTCTTTTAGTCCACACATGAGAGGAGGATGCGAGAACTGTGACCGTGAAGCAGTTATTGATGAACAAAGCTACCCCGCCACCACGTACATTGCGATCACGCCTGAAGAGCCTATAGCCTTCCAGCAAAACGACAGCGTCATCAATAAGAGGGCAAAGCTTAGTCTCTGACATGGCGATAGCATGAAATGGAGGCGAGATTCCAGGAAAAGCCTGACTCTCTCAATGTGAGCTCTGAGAGAGTTCACATTAAGATGACAGACACGCAAACCCTCCAATTCCAACATGGCTGCCGCCTGACTGTGCTCAAGGTAGGAATGAGTTAGCGAAAGCGGAGCGGGAGACTGAGAAAAAGAAGAGAGAGGAAGAGAAAGATTGGAGACAGGAGATATAGTAGAAGCAGAAGAGTTTATTGAGGGCCCGCCATTTTTAATTCAGCCATCGATGAGATTCTGATTGCAGCATCCTCCTTCTTTTTCTTTATGAACAGCTCTCTATCACAGCTCCATTTCGAATGAAGGTATGAAAGCCTCTCTCCTTGGCAGCAGTCCTCACAGCGCGTCTAAGATTATGGAGATCTTGCGGGAGGAACTCGTTGATGTTGATGAGTGATGGCTGCAGGAGAAGTGTCGCTCCAGAGGCAGACACAAGCTCAGCTGACAACTGAGACGAATGCAGCTTGCCATGCCTTGCCTTCGCGATCACTAACTTACGAACGAATTCACCAGACGAGACTGTCACCAAAAGTGATGAGGACCTAGCGACACCATCAGCTGCCGTGCTCGTAGGTACTAAGGAAACTACAGCTCTATCATCAGCGGCATCCACAGCTGAAGGCTGCCTCACCCGAAGAGGACGCACGCTGCGAATGTCATCCATCTGAATAGAGGAAGACACGGCACGAAAGATAGCGAACGACAGTTGTCTCATGTCACAGTTCGCAGGCGGATCAAGGCCTGAGATGAGGATGTCCGACACAAGCCTCATCCTTTCCGCGTTGATCATCGCTAGAGAGTCAGCCAGTTCCTTCACCGTCTCAACAGAGCTCACCCTGCCCACGACGGCTCCCGACGTTTCAGCTGACGCAGCAGCAAACACTGAGACAGAGTTGGCTGTATCCTCCTTCATCTGCCGCTGCTCCTCTTCAACCAAGTTGACTCGCTCCCTCAGTGCCCCGACATCAGTCTCTACAGCGTCCACTCTTTTGGTGGCTAGATCTGCGACAGATTGCTTCAGGCTTCTGATCTCCTCACACTGCTCAGCCACAACAGCCTCAACGTCATCAACACGCTTGACCAGGGCTGGAAGCTGATCCAGAGCTGACAACTTAGCCTTGACTTCCGAGAGTTCTGATTGAACGGTATCGAGCTTGGTGGATAAGGCATCAAGGTTCTCAGTGCACTTGGTAGTCACTCTCAGAGACTCAATAATACTTACGAGGGCGGGGAATTGGAGAGAGTAACGGGGAAAAGAGGGTGACCAACGGGGGCGGGAAATTCTTAGGAGGAAATATTGTGTGAGGGGCTCATTTCACCTCCTCACAACCCCAAGACAATAGCATCCAAAAGTCGCTATGGATTTCCGGGGAAAAATCTAAATTACTTAATTTATTGTAGTCAATATGTAATTGAGTTTTTTTGTCCTCATGTGTTATGATGCAGGCAATAATAACTGTTTGAATTGAATAAGAAATTACTTGTTAATTAATTGTTTGAATCAAATAAGAAATGCTTTCACGAAATTTCTATTGTTTAGCGTTTAATATCTCAGAAAATAGGTAATACAACATTTTACAAAAAATTTACCGTATTCACAATATATCAATCTACCACGTATTAGCCTTTTAAAAACATTGTAAGAATTGTTTTCACGTAAGATGGAAAAATCGAGTTCGGGAGGACCCAGAACCACCGTTTCGCCTATGCCTTGCGTGTTGGAAGCTCACATTCTATTATTTATTGGCTCCTAAACTATGCAGTACAGTTAGTTGGTATTTTTTTCAATAGCTGGAGACTATTATAAACATTATCTATGAAAAATATAGGAACAATGTTAAGAAGAACGTGTTCTCTAAGGATATACCTTCAGTGTTCCCTCCTTTACTGTACCGTTCAGGTGGATTATTGTATGTTCCGAAGTGGAGTATGGCTTGACTTAAATCACTTTTTCAACTTTTATTTATAAAGTCGTGTATTAGGTGGTAACTGTTTTTTTTCCTTTGTCATTTCTGCATTGCTCTCGAAAACGAATATTTCGAAAACAATCACTCGTTTAACGAAGAACCACTGTAAAAAAGTATTATCCTTTGTGAAACTATCGGTATTTATGCCCTGAAATTACCGTATGATTGCAGATTAAAGAAAAAAGTTTTCGAGTAGTTGCAGATTGGAAAAAAATTCGATTTCGCCATAATGGCTCCAAAATTTGAATAAATTGAGTTCAATTGCGATCATTTTAAAGCTTCTTCACGTACTTTCAAATGTGTGGAAATGAAAATTCGAATCCTAGTGAATAAATTCAATTATTCCACCTTTTTCTCAAACAATCAAAATTCAAACGAAAAATGTGAAATTTTTGGAAAAATCATAACTCGTTTTAGAAAAATTGAATTGCTCTCAATATTTTAGAAGAGCTTGACCCATGTACTCCTAAAAAAAAATCGGCAAGAGACTCGGAACCATGAAATTTTTTCAAATTTCGGACTTGACGTAGAGTTGCTCAATAACAATTACGAATTATTTTTTTGAAATTTGACTTCTACACAGCTAATTTAGTTTTCTTTTAAATATAGAAAACAGCACCGTTCTATTGTGTGTATGGTGCTATTCATTACATTAAAAAAAAGAAATTTGCTCTGAGGTATCGAATTTTAAAAAACTACCTCATAATTGTTATTGTACACATGTTTCCAAAAACGTTGAAAAAAAACTTTGTAATTCCTAAATTAGACCTCTGGATTATTTTTAAAATTTTGAGCCTCCGGGGCAAACGAATAATAAATAATTAATTAAAAACTCATAATAGTCTCCCCTTAAAATGGCCGTTTTTTCGCCCTGCTTACCTCTATGGGGAAAACTATTATCTGATTGCTCACTAAAATTAATATTTTCCAGAAATACTACCCCCCGGATTTTGATCCCTCGAAAATACCTCGCATGAAGCTCGCCAAAAATCGACAATACACGGTGCGTTTGATGGCCCCCTTCAACATGAGATGTAAAACCTGTGGAGAATACATCTACAAAGGAAAAAAATTTAATGCTCGTAAGGAGGACGTCGAGGGTGACGATTACCTCGGGATACGGATTTATCGATTTTACATCAAGTGCACGAGATGTCTCCAGGAGATATCCTTCAAAACAGATCCAAAAAACACTGATTACGAGATCGAGGCGGGAGCGACAAGGAACTTTATGGCGTTAAAATTAGCTGAGGAGCAGGCTCAGAGGGAGGAGGACGAGGAAAAGGAGGAGGAAGCGACAAATCCCATGAAGCTATTAGAAAAGAGGACACACCAATCCAAACAGGAATTGGAACTACTCGAGTCTTTGGAGGAGTTGAAGGACCTGAACAGACGACAACAAACGATTAATTATGATGAGATGCTGGAGCAGTATAACACCGAGGCTGCCAGGCAGAGGACCATTAAAGAGCAGGAGGAATTGGATGAGGAATATGTTCAATCTGTCTTCAGTAAGAAAAGATTGACTGGAACTGTTTTAGAAGAGGAGATTGTTGAGCTGAATGAATCCGGAGGGACATCGAAAAGGGCGAAGAAGATGCAGAGGATGAGTTGGACTGCTGTAAATTCCAGTGCAAAATCCCATGATAAAGCAGGTCTAACGATTCAGAGTATCATGACGAAACCCAGCGCCGTGACATCATCATCTTCGTCCGGGGAAGGTCCCAGGAGCTGGTCCTCGGCTTCTACTATACTTCAAAATACGAGCGATCATTTGATTAAAAAAAAAGAGAGTTTAGGCATTGTTGTTGCTCGACAAAATGAAAAGGATTCGAAGATTAAATTACAAAATGGGACTAATTATCCAAGCAATTCGAGTAATGGGGGTTTGAATGGCGACGGGAATAATAAGAATGGATTGTCGTTGCTCGGCGCATACTCTAGAAGCAGTGATGATGATAGTAGCTACGAAGATAGTTAATCAAATAGATTGATTAATTTACACATATTTTTTTATGAATTGTGAAGACGACTGGGAAATAATTATGATGAATAAAAGTCGATTAAATACAAATGTGGGCAATAAGTATCGAAGATTTGTATTCTAATAATCTCTTATACGGGGTACAGAATACAGACGCCCATAGAAGCCCGGATCCGAAGGTTTAGGCCTATAGGCCTTCCAGTAAAATCTTTTCCTTCATTTTCGGGGGTGAGAACAGGGATACAAGCAAGGTTAGTAGATACCCAGGTTGGGACCACTGAAATATACTATTAGGTGTGTGACGTAATTTTTACAGATTGTTTCTTCGAGCTTACAATCATATTTAAAATAGAAATATATTCGCGGTCTTTTCTGGTTTTAAAAGGATCGGACAAAAGATTTCAGAACACGAAACGACAAGTCTATGTAAGTTACATAACCTTTCAGAATAGCAGAGTTTACGATGGCAACTGATAAATGGCACATTCGGCACTGCATTATAAAATGCATTATACGAATTCCAACAAGGGAAAAATGCTTCTGAAGCACGGGAATCAATGTGTAGTGTTCTTGGTGCCGACGTTGTATCTTATGAAATGTGTAATTTTTGGTACAAACGTTTTAGAAGTGGTGTTTTCGATCTTAGTGACCAGCCGCGTCCTGGACAACCTCGAAAGTTTACAGATGCGGAATTGCAAGCTCTACTAAATGAAGACTCAACGCAAACGCAACAAGACCTTGCAGCTCAGTTAGGAGTCACCCGAACAGCTATTTCTAAGCGTTTGGGTCAAATGGGAAAAATCCAAAAACTTGGAAGGTGGGTCGCACATGTGTTGACCGAACACAACCTAGGTCAACGTATGAACACGTGCCTTTCGCTGCTTGTCCGGCAACAAAAAAAGGACTTCTTGTGGAAAATTGTGACGGGTGATGAAAAGTATATTTTTTACGAGAATCCCAAATGTAAAAAGTCGTGGGTAGATCCCGGACAATCCAGTACATCGATGCAGAAACAGAACATCCACTTAAAGAACATTCTCTTGTGTATCTGGTGGGACATGAAGGGTGTGCTTTATTACGAACTCCTGGGAACAGGTCGGACGGTGACTACGGAATGCTACAGCCGACAACTGAACAAATTGAGCGAAGAACTTGATCGGGAAAGGCCATTTGCTGGACAAGGAAGCAGGCAAGTCATACTGCTGCATGACAATGCTCAACCTCACGTTGCTCGCGCGACTCAGAAGACCCTCTTAAACTTGGGATGGGATGTTCTCCCGCACGCGGAATATTCACCAGACTTGGCCTCATCCGACTATCATTTGTTCCGGTCCATGCAGCACGCCTTAGTGGATAAACAGTTTAAAACGCTGGACGATGTGCGTAAATTCGTCGATGAATTTATCGCCTCGAAGCCTGCAAGTTTCTTTCGCGACGGCATTCGAATGTTACCTGAGAGATGGCGCAAGGTCATAGAAAACGATGGACAATATTTCTAAGATTAAGTTCGTTGTTCTCTATTTTTGTATATTAAATAAATTTACTGAAAAATCTGTAAAAATTAAGTCACACACTTAATATATACTGAAAAGGGCATTGAGCCGTCCGAAGCGAGCCGAGAGAAAGGGTCGATTTTGGGGGCCACCAGTGTCTGTCGTACCGTCTGCTCCAAAAGTATACTCTTACCTTGGACAACGTATAGAATTTCGCATTGGCATTCAGTTCTTTTCGGTTGCATATGTCATTTTTGTTGAAATTTAAACTCATAACATGTGACGGTTGAAAATTTTATTCTTTCTCAATGTATACTGCTACATAAGGTATTTACAATTCTATTACGACTAAATTAACATGAAAAAAATACATACGAATATACAATTCAATAGATTGTTTATTCAATTAATCTGACGGGAAATCGAAATCCTTTCAGTCAGTACCGTCCTTAGTATTCGGAATTTCAAATTTCGGTATGTTCAATATAATTCCTGAAACAGAAAGTTGATATTTGAATGATATAAACTTTTATTTCAAGAGGAATTAATTTCTCAAATTTAAGAACATGCCTCGAGTTTCTGATCTCTATTTGATCTTTCCAATACTGTAATGAAAAAGTAGAACGGCCCAATATTTATTTACCCTTATAGCATCAAAACAATCTTTACCACATCAATTCACTGCGCATAACTCAACCTAAGCTTCTCAACTCGTTTGTACCGTATACACTAACTGGATAGACTATCCTGTAAGACGCAGAGTCTCCAAGTTGGACTGGTACCCAGCGCCTCCCGGTCAGGGACCCGGAACTAAATGCGCCGTTAGTGCGCTTGCGTGACCGTCATCATGTAGTGGAGGGGTGGGTAATGTTACCGGGTAAAGTTGGAAAATTTTATGATTATTGTTCTGTTTTGTGTCATACTAGTCCATACGCTAGGGGTACTTCTGTGTACATTGAGATGTCCATTAGATTTTATTATTGGATTCTATGTTTTCGAGGTCGCTGATTGCGAATATGATGATCGTTTGTGCGAAATCGTGGGCAGTCTCTTTGTTTATAACAATTTAATTGTTTAAAACGGAATATCTCGGAAACGGTTGGCTATAGGGGAAAATATTTCAAACAAAAAATGTTCCTTATCAAAAAGTGGACCTATTTTGTCTGTTTCAAACGCAACTAAAATTCCAGAACATTCTGGTCGACCATCGGCCTACTTCGAAAATCTCCGGGACCCTTCAGGTCATCAGTCATAAGTCACTGAAACACGCGCGAATCAGTTTAGGCTTAGCCTCTCACCGTATAAGTCTATCTCGAGCAAATCACCTCTAGATGTCATATAGTATCCATTCATATTTCAACGAGTTCACATCAACTAAGTAGTAGTCTCTCAACTAGTCCACAAGTATTAAGTACAACTCAACGAGTAATTCAACGTGTAGTAATTCACCGAATAGTTATTAACGAGTATTAATCAACATTATTAAGAGTTCATATCGAGAAGTCGATTTAGTCAATTAGCATTGAAAATTGAATACCTTTATTCAGTACATCACCTCTGTTGATTAAATTCAGTTTAAATTCAGTGACTCACCAAATTAACGTGCAAAGCAAATCATCAGTGAAATTAGACTCTCACCAGTGAACTTACATATTACCAAAGAGTGTACATAAATTTTGACAAAGTGGTTCGATCCCACAAAATAAAGTGTGATTTTTTAAATCCGGCTCATCAGTAATTTTCGCAACATCTCCCTCCACATTTTCATCCCACATCCACCCTAAATCTAGTCATTCATCAAACATTGTCTTATAACATTTTCTCATAGCTGTCATGGTTGCAGAGATATCGCGGATGCAAGTCCAGCGAGCGGCGCGCTGGCATTATTGCGCGGCGGCAATGCGCTCCGGAGTCTTTTTAAGAAAAATGGTTGGACGGAGAAAAAATGGTTGAAACAAAAGATGTTCAATATAAAAAAATACATCAGATCAGTTTTTTGACTTTTTCAATGTTATAAAACAAAATATGACCACGTTTTGATAAGGGACATTTTTTGTTTGAAACATTTTCCCCTATAGCTAACCGTTTCTGCGATATTCCATTTTAAACAATTAAATTGTTATAAACAAAGAGACTGCCCACGATTTCGCACCAACGATTATCATATTCGCAACCAGCGACCTCGAAAACATAGAATCCAGTAATAAAATCTAATGGACATCTCAATGTACACAGAAGTAGCCCTAGCGTATGGACTATACAGAATCACGATACTTAAAGGGAAAATTTTCATTGTCATCAATTGAAAAAATTAGTGGGACCATTGCGGGAGAGATGGACACAAAAAGTTAAAGAATTATTTATTTTAATAATATCAATTTCCCAATTTCTCTCGTGGCCTATAGAGGTTCATTTATCAAGCAATGAAGAACAAAAATCGACTCAGCATCTCCGTCTATAAATAAAAGATTTTCAACCGAAAAGGAGTGGCCATATTCCTTTCAATGTGGGAAGATACAGACAATCTGAAAATTATGTATATTGATGAAATCTAACAGATTCTCAGAAGCATATATATATATTCGTCCTTTCATACATATGTTTTCATATTTACAAATAATTGCTGTGCATTTTCGAATGCAATCCATATTTACAAATTCCCTTACCATTATTACTGGAGTCAATACTTGATGTACATTACCTCCTGCAATATCTATTAACAGTTGCATTGCCGATTTCACTGATATGAAATCAGATGTCGATGCTTACCACTCCGAAAGTATATGCACGTCCTGATGATTGACAATTGACAATTGACAAGATAAATTTCAACACGTATGAATACTTACCTACGGAAGGACAATTCCATTTTGTGAATTTTTTCTTGCACTATTCGCACTGGACCATTTTTGTGAAAATCTGGAAATAACAACAAGTCACCCAAAATGACAGCTATTCGGGGCTTATGAGAGCGGAAAAATAACACAGTCAGATAACCATCCTCACTACCCAGCACTTTGCCTGCGCCAGCACATCGAGGCATCGTGTAGTTTCGAGACCGTGAGGGAGAGGCGCTGGAGAAATTTTCAAGACCCGCAGTTTTCAACGTACCTGGCCCATCAAATAGCACGGTACAACAAAATAAGGTCAAGTTTTTTACCAAAGATGAAATTTACACCACTTATAGATTTTTGCACGCTGAATCCAACGGTTTTTGCAAAATTCCTCTAGCACGTCAGGTTTTAGAGAAAAAAAATGTTAAAGTTGTGAAATTTGTCAAAAATGAACGTTTTCAAAAAATTCAAATTCAACGAATTTTCGACGGAATTGAATGGAAAAAATAGCAGAGTATAGTTGAAAAATTATTTCATCCATTAGAATAAACCTCTTCCAATTCCGCTGCGTGATTTCACTGCGAAAAAATCCTAAAATTCATAAATTTGGTTGAATTAACTGTTGATTACGTGAACTCTCGGAAGTTGGCTTCGTATATATTTCTAACCCCCTGGAATTTATTCAATAAGCACGTGGTTATTTTTGCAAAGACTCACGGCTATGGAAATAAACTGTGAGGAGGTTTTTAATGAATTTCTCAGT